CCATATGTACCACAAGAATCCAATGCCACCAAATCTCCCATCCCCTTCTTTAGAAATTATCCAAATAGTCGCCACAAATAGCAGTAAGTAGCGGTCGTACCCATCCCATCATCCATCCAAAAACCAACCAAGCCAAACCACACCGTCATGGAATTGAGAGCAGCAAAAAAGAAAAAGAGAGAGACGAAATCAGCAGTAGAGCGGAGCGCGTAACACATAAGACAATCAGACAAAACCCAAAAACAGCCACTAGATAGAGAAAAAGAACGCCAGTCGCTACATGCTTGCTCAGGACGCACATGCAACAGAACTCGATGCAATACACTTGCTGTACGCAGAAACTATGCAGTGTGGTCTAAATTTTCCCAATCGCACATAACGTAGGAGAAGGACGCTGGATACATGCTACTGCGCCGCTCCAGGCCTCTGAATGAATGGGGTGCTCGGAGTCGGGCTCGACAGTGGCGTTTCGACCTCTACAATGGTTTCGTGCGCCAGATTTAGTTGCGCGGGCCGTTTTTGCTCAGCGGGGCCTGGGAGGCCATACTGTGACTGCCGATAGTACGCATCGTAGAACTCGCTGAGACGAGGATCGTGCGGTTGATTGGTCCCAGTGCTGGTGACGGATGCGGGTGCGAGGAGCGAGCTCGAGGCTGATTGCCTGCGGCTGGGATCCTTGGAGCTCATGGCGACGGAGTTGCGATTTGAGGTGGCGGGGTGCGAGAAGTTGAAGGTGGAGTCCGTTGATGAGGAGTCGTGCGTGCTCGTGCGTTTGTGGCCGACGCTGTATGTGCTGCTGGCGGAGCTGAGTTCGCGCTTGTGATGGCTAGAGACAGTCTTCTGCTTCTGCTCCTGCTGCTGCGGTTGAGAGGGCTGATACGCCTGGTACGGCTGATATGTCTGGGGAAGGAGACGGACGGGGGAAGGCGGGAGGGGCGCGTCAGTGGTGTCTTTGCAGCCAAGTCAGGATTCTTGCCCTTGCGGAACGCTTGATTGCTAAAAGTACAAAACACAACAAAGAGGAGACTACCTACTCGACTGCAGCCGAGAGCTGGCATCTGGGGTTGGGCCGCGCGACGAGGGGTTGCTGTAGTCGAAGTTGAACGAGGCAGCTTGGGACTTGGTCGTGTCTTCAGGTGTGTGCACGTTGACCTGCAGGCCCTGTGGCATGGGGAGCTGGGGCGCAACGGGAGCATAGTGGCCGGCAGTAAAGTTGGCAGACCGTGGAGAAAGGGATCGCGGGGAGGCGCGTCCATCGTCGGAGCCGTCGTCGGAGCCGCCAAACGTGGGGGAGCCACGACCGCGGGCAAGGACAGGAGAGGGCGGCACCATGAGGTTCATATCGACAGCCGCGCTGTGGTTGGTGCGTCCGCTGAGCTCGGCTTGGGAGGGCGCAAGCCTGATGGTCGGAGGGGCCTTTCTGCGTGGAGGAGAGTTCGTGCCGGAGGAGTCGCGATCGATGGTGTGGGCAAGCGGTAGCGTCGTCACGCTGCTGTTGTACGAGCGGGTGTGGTCTTTGAGCGCCAGCGAGGCACCACCGAGGAGGGTGCTGGTGCCTCTGCTCTCAGCGAAGGATCCAGCAATGGATCCAGCTCTGGATGTTGGTCGCGACTGGTGGATGCCTGCAAAGTAGCCTGCCTCGATGGCGCGGATACCGAAGAGGTCGCCTTCGTCCTTTTCTCGCGCATTTAGCTCCATTTGATCCTCCTTCTGTCCCGTCTCGAGCTTTGCTTCTGCCACATGCTTCTTGAGTCTAGAGCACAGTTAGTAAGTGATCCGTCATCGGACAGCCGACACGTACCTTCTACGGTTATAGAGCACCTTGCAGAGCCCTGCTAGGATGGTGAGGACCAGGAGGCTGACAAAGACGATGCTATTCCGATCAGTACGCTGTCCATTGCGGTAGCGGTGATCACTCACGTGTACTTGTAGGCCAAGTCGAGGTTTCCAAACCAATTGGCCATTTTGTCCAATTGTCGCTACAGCGAAGAAAAGAAGGAAAACGAAAGACTGGAGGCGCCTGGCTCTGCCGGGCAGAAGAAGCAGTGAAAGATGAAGATTCAGAAGCACCCAGACGGCGATCTGAAACTGCTAAGCACGCGAGACTCCCAGTGCGGAGTACAGGCCGAAGCGGCAAGTGACGACGGCCAAATGTTCCAACGCGCTCGATCTGTCAAAGTTCTACACCCCCGGAGGAGCTATGAATACAGGCAAAAAGGGCCCAGGGGAGCGGGTAAAAGGTCCTGGGAATTGGTTTTCGTGACTGAGGTCGACCAGGTAAACGAGCGGCTCGGAACGAGAGGACGTGTGCGGATACACACTCGCACGGAAAGAGTGACGATGGTAGACCTGAGGAGCGAAGAGTGAAAGGAGGCTGAAGGAGAGGAGCAGGCGGAGAGGTAAAGAGAGAACGGGATCACGGCGGAGGCAACAGGGCCACTGACCGTGGGCGATAAACCTGGCGCCATGCTCCATGCCATGTGCGTGCTGTGGGTGGACCAGCCAGAGCTTCGAAAGCCGTGGCTTGAGGTCTCGAGCGCCATGCCAGTTTCGTCTAGATGCGGAACTCCAGAGGCTAAGCGAACGGGGCAAGCCAACCAGCGCCGCGTCTTGACTCGGCGTTGACCGAAAGAGAAGTCAAGCGCCTGACGCTATTCCGTAAGCGCTGAGGGAATAGACTACTGGCTGCGAGAGCTGAGTCTTGTCTCGCGCCACGATGAAGAAAACCGACGTTTCAGTGTCTGAGGAGCCGCCGGCCTGGGCTTGACGTGGACGACAGGACAGAGTTTCCGTGAGGCATACTGCAGCTGTGGCCTCCACAGCAGAGTGTCGCTCTCGCTGTCGAATGGTGCCCGCCGAGGTGAAAACACCAGATCGCCGTGAGATGCTATTCGTGGATACCGGCACCGCCGCGACCCCTGAGAGCTGCGGGAAGCACGCAGGAACAGGCTGGGCGTCCGAAGCTTGGCAGGGGCCGCATGGCTGAAAAAATAAAAAGCGTATAGGAGACCCGCCGTGCTAACCACAGTATGTAAAGGCGTTCACCCTGACCAGTAACGGAGTCGGGGCAGCGGCATCATGGGCAACTTTTCTTGACATCCGCCACCGACGCTTGTTGTTGACTCGCGAAGGCAACACGCGAGCGACTTCTAGGGGTTGCCTGTGATGGTTAGTCTAGAGATCCCGCGGCCCACGATGATCGACTGCGAACGACGGGCCGAGCGGAGCCAGAGGGCAGCAATCTGAGAGATGGACAACACTTTGCGACTTCACGAGAGGTCGGCGTACGACCGTAGACGTTGAACGGTGGTCGCACAACGTTTCCGGACAGATTTGACAGCTGCGTCTCCTCGGATGTGACCGCCTGAAACCGCCCCATGCATGAGCTTTCTGTGTAACCTCGCATCGTGGAATTGGAGCTGCAGCGCGGATCATGTAGCCGGGCCCCGTTGAGCAACACATGCAGCTGCGTTGCTCGTGGTCAAACGCCGTCGCATTCCTCGGATCCCAAATTATGGTCACCATGCTCTTCACCGGTTGACCTGACCTCGTAACTGAAAAGTCTTGTTGAGTATGCTCGATACTATGACTGTAAAGTCAAAGTCGGATACTCTTTGAACAGGCGTCGGAAGATGCCAGATGAGTGGCGCCGTCATGGCCTCGACTTCTCGCCAAAATGTCTCTCAGCTCGCCTCTTATCATTCCCCTATATTGGTGGCGTCAGGATCATCTCTCTGGTCGGTTTGATTTTCGTCGCTGAACCTTCGAGACCTGGTTCTCGGAAGATGCACATACCTCCGCGAAAGGTCGAAGCTTTGTCGCATACTGCATGCTATGGGAGTAGCTGTTGCCGGGCACGGGTGGGTCAAAATGGTGACAATGTGAAGGGAGCTTGACAGTTCACTGGCCTCTGGGCTAAACACATTTCATATGGCGGGGTCTTCGACTTTTCCGATATCTGATATAGAAGAACACCATTGTCGAGGAGAAGTGAAGAGAGTGATGGAGAAGCTGGCGATGATTAGCAGCGCTGAGACTTGGCAGGCACCTGTGGAACCTTGGGAAGGCACCCCGCACCCCTAGCCACACCAACGTCACTTCCTCCCTTCAACCTCTCACGTGCTTCAATTCAACTTCAAGACTTGGTCTAGGATTTGCCTAGATCACCTATCGCGATCATATCGCTTGATCTTTCCGCTATCATCACCATGTCCTCCCAACCCTCAATCAACAACTCCAAAGTCCTCAAAGTAGAGCCACTCGTCCGTCTGACTCACTTCGTTGCCTACACCCTCTCACTCCCCTCCAGGATCAGAAAGACGCAAAATGGGCAACATTAGTCAAGTATCTCTCACCCCTCTCCCAAAACCCAACCTTAGACACTAACAATGTCCCTAGGATCACATACACCGACCCGCACGGCGTTGAGCGTACCTGGGAATCCGGCGAACGTCTCACTCGGCCTGCAGGAAGCGACATCGACGGCGTAGGCATTTGTGCCATTCTGCGGGACCCCACGAAGCCGGATGAGTCGCCGCGGATCGTGCTGCAGAAGCAATGGCGGCCGCCTGTGAATGCTACTGTTATTGAGATTCCTGCGGGTTTGATCGATCCGAATGAGAGCCCGGAGACGTGTGCAATTCGCGAGCTGAAGGAGGAGAGTGGCTATGTGGGTGAGGTCGTCGAGGGGGGGTTTGGAGTCAGTCCGATTATGTTCAATGGTGAGTACATCGTCTGTCCTCGATTCATCGCACGCCCCAGCACCCGGACGTCACTCTGCCGGACACTGCGTCGCTTGTCGCCAAAACAAAAACAACCGTCGTCGACGCGCAACAGCCCTGGAACTCCGTCCTGGTTCCGTACCTCCTTCCAACTCAAACGCCGACCCTCGTTCCGATCCAGAATCCTGCCAGGCGTACCCGCATTCACTCTCAACACCACCTCAATCAAGACAAAAAAAGTTAACTCCTGAAACCTTTCCAAGCTGGAAAGACGAATGTTGATGAGGACGGGACTCGAACCCGCGCCACTTTCGTGACCAGGAAACAATGTTAAGATAACCTTAACCTGGCGCCATAACCAACTCGGCCACCTCACCGGATTTGATGAAATTTTTACGGCTGGGCTGCTTTCTATACTCAGAACATTCGCCGTTTCCGACGACAGCAGCGCTCTCCCGTTCTTCTTCTCCACGTCGTTGTCCCGCTTCAAAGGTGTTGCATTTGTCTTTTCGAGATTTCAAAAGCTAGTTCCCTTAGCGCAGAACTAACCCACGTTCCAGATCCCGGCTTCTGCAACACGAACCTGCGCATGATTCATCTCACCGTCGACATGTCAAAACCCGAGAACCAGAACCCCGTTCCGGAGCTCGAAGACAACGAGTTCATCGAAACCTTCTCAATCCCGCTGACAGATCTATGGAGCGAGTGTAAGAGGTGGGAGAAAGAAGGGTACGCAATTGACGCGAGGGTGGGGACTATGGCAGAAGGCATTGAGGTTGCGAAACGCCTAAGGTTGTAGGAGGGTTCATGCGCAAGAGAGGGTGGATGGGTGGATGCTCGATGGAGTTGGAGATGGAGCGAGGTACGTATGGTGAGTTCGGACACGTTCTACGTGACGTATGGTGATTTTGGACACGTTCTACGTGAACGGTACGGTCATTCTCATCAAAAAATTTCGTGGACACTCAGAAACGATGCGTCGGTGCTCGCCCAGGCACAGTCTCTACACTATCATAGACCACCCAAAGGTGGCGGATTAGGGAGTGTGCATTAGTGCGAAAGCATGCACAATAAACACAAACACACAACATCACTCACAGTGTCCAGATCTTCGGGCTCCAAGGAGCATGTATCCATCAAGAACATGCATGCACGAGCTACCTTATCACATACACTGCAGCTATCCAAGGTTGTTAAAGGCTACAACCACCTTTCCGGGACGGTGAACATGAACATATGCCTCAGTACTGGTCCACATACAATATAAATTCCACAAGTCCTCTATGCTAGTTGAAGGACAGACTTCGTTCTAGGTCTCACCCCGAACATCAGACGGCTCCCTGCATGATCATCCAAACCATTAGACAGCCACCCGTGTAGCAAAAGTAGAGGGAGCTCCTTGGATTACCATCGGATATCGGGTGTGTTTCTTCTTGCATTTCGAGGGTTTGGATGCTGAATAAATACATTCTATAGACGCATGATCTAGCTCTTTCGCGCTTAACATACAACTGATTCCATATAGCCCGTACCCTACATAGACAGTCGTCCCCTCTCAAGCCTCTCTCTTATGGGCCTCTTATGGGTTGCTTACACTCCACTCCATACCCCGGCAGACCAAAGATCTATAACAGGCGTAAGAATGGCGTTCGTACTAGCCCTACGCATCCGTACTCGTTGACATGCGGTCTACAATCCCAATTTCCTATTTCCACCGTCCAAGTTTGCTTTCTGCCCAAAAGAGCAAGCACCATGCTCCCGCAGACACAGTCTACATCCCATACACCACTTTCTCTCCGCTTTTGTAGTTTCAGGGGCTCAGCTGAATTCTGCTCAGCTAAAGTCAGTGTTCACGCATGTACGCGCTATACATCACGTAACCCACCTTTCCATCGAAACTTCCATCAAGTCTGGTGAGAAGGCCGAGTCGGTCATGAGGGCCAGTCCGACAGTTACACTTCCCACGCACGCACGACAGTCTACGTTATCAAAGAGCTCGTTTCTTTTCCTACTGGACCCAAAGCTTTTTGGGGGGGAACGGCGAACCAGTATGCATACAACCCGCTCGCATGCACCCTCTACGAACCCTCATAGTCCCGCTCCCAGCATCCCCTCCCCTAAACCGGCAAAGCTTCCGCGCACTCAACCGCAAGCAAGCATGCATAACTTTTCCCATCCCATCCCAGCTTTCCCCATCCCCCTCCCCTCAATCCTTCACACTCTCACATACGCTAAACACATCAGTCTTCATCCCAGCACTCAGAAAGTCATTCGTTCATTCACTTACTCGCATCAATCTGCCTAACCTGCGGCAGTGCCAACCTAATCTTATTCCGATAAAGCGTCAGATTCCTCTTCTGCAACGGACTCCCCTCAAAATACACCGTCTGCAACTCCCCCAACTCCCGCAACTCCCTCTCCACTTCCCTAAAATCACAAATCAGCGTCTCAGACGCCCACAACTCTTCCAAATGTTCCAAATGTTTCAGTCCTTCAAGATGCTCGATAGGATTCGCCGTGACATCCAGCACGCGGAGTTGGGTATTTGACTCTAACCCGGAAATCCGGGTGAGTTTGTTGTGCGAAATATGCAGTTCTTCGAGTTGGGGGAGGTGGGAGAGCGAGGGGATGGAAGAGAGGCGGTTGGATTGGATGGAGAGGATTTTTAGGGCTGGGAGGGGGGGCAGGCCGGTTAGGGAGGTGATTTTGTTTTTTCCGAGCCAGAGTTGTTCGAGGGATGTTAAGGAGTCTAGGTTTGTGATTTCCTGTTGTTTCATAATGGAACTCGTTAGCAATTTCCCCTTATTATACACAGAAGATATTAATGAGGAAGAGGGGAAGACGTACGCGTATCCGATTCGCCCCCAACTCCAGATTCCGCAACTCGCTCAACCCGTCTAACCCCTCTATCGTACTGATTTTGTTCTGAACGAAATACAAATCCCGCAGTTTCGAGAGGTGCGAGAGGCGTTTTATATGTTTTATCTTGTTGAACGAGAGGTCGAGAGTCGTGAGATTCGTGAATGCGTCGAAGCCGCGGATATGCGAGATGAGGTTATCATAGAGGTCGATTTCTTCGAGCGTAGGCGCGAGTTCCGCAGGGATTTCGACGTGCTCGATATGGTTCTGGCGGAGGCAGAGACGCTGGGGTTGTTAAATCTCTACGAGCGGAATGGGAGAAAGCGGTGCGTGAAGAGCTACGCACCTTGAGTTTCTTGAACCGCTCTAGTCGCAGCGCGGGTATACTCTCAACCCTACAATGCACGAGATCGATATCCTCCTCGTCCTCGGGCACATCATCCAGCAGATCCTCATCCGCTTCCAGCGTATCTGGCGCCGGTCCCTCCTCCGTCACCACGCGTGCGCGAGGCGAGGCCGGCGTACTGCCTGAGGGACTTCCTGCGGCGTTCACCGCGCTCCTCCCCTCACCCCTCTCCTCTACCTCGCGCCCCATTCCCTCTTCTCCCTCCTCATCATCCGACTCTTCCCCCTCACTCACCGCCCCCGTCGACCCTTCCTCCCCATCTAGACAACCCTTCTTCGGAAGCCGCAACTTGCCATCCCAGCCTTTACTATCGCGCGGCCTGTGATCTCTTTCTTTCTTTTCCGTGTCTTTATCCTCCGAGATCGAGATCCCGCTAAGTTGCGTGGTAGTCCTGTCGAGCGCGGGTTTGTCGGCCGGGTCGCCCGAGGGCGCGGGCGGGGTGTCGGGCATTGTGCAGTGCGTCTCGCCAGGCGAGGATGTGTGGGAAAAGGTGTGGAATGGGAGAATGGGTGAAGTCGATGGGCGGTCGAGGTTTAGCGGGTTTGAGTAGCGGAGGAGATTTTTGGCGTGCGTGGTGTGGTGTGGTGTAGGCGCGAGCAGTTGCTGTCTGTTGAAGGAGCTGTATCGGGGAGCTTTGTGGTGGGGGTGTACATAACAGGCCGGGGGAGCACGGACGTAACGCAGTTAAGAGGTCGGAGGGGCGCGTTCCAAACTGTACCTAAGGAAAGTTGGCCAACATATATCATCAAGCTCGTCATTTTCCAGAGCTACTCCTTTCAAAACTACGACAATGCACGCAAATGCTTATCTGGGCTTGCATCGTTTCCGCTGCCACCCATACCCATATCATGGGCCAAAGGATCCGTGCAAGCCGACCCGGAAAGTTCCCAAGCATGCGTCGACAGCGCCAGCTCTAGAGGTAAGGTCCCATAAAATATGATGTACGCTCGAAGACAGCTCCGTGGTCATCATGTTATCCGAAACACCCGCTATGGTGCTCATAAACACTTCATGAAATCGAACATGGCGTGTATCTGAAATACAAAACAAGCCCACGCCATACCCATGCTATGCGCGCTGGATATAGAACAAAAAGTCCCTCGGTAGCCCCTTCGCCAGGTCTGTGACACCGATTTCAATGCCCCCTCTTCCTCCACAGCTTCAAAAACTCCCTCTTCGTCTCCAGCCCAAGTGCCACTCTCTTGACCCGTCCCAGCCTAGCTAGGTCCTCTCCAACACGAGCTAAAACCCGCTGCTCATCCTCCGTCAGTGCCTCCTCACCGGTTGCCCCTTTCACATCCCCATCCGAGCTGCCCTCCCTCCTATCCAGGCTGTCGAAGATGTTCGTGTCATATCCTGTACCAACTCCCTTCGCCGCCGCCGCGCCCGCCTTCTCATTACTGGGCTGATCCAAACTCTTATTATTGTAAACCGCAAAGCCCACCCGTACCGCGAGATTATGCGTCAGGGGTGCCAATGCCCTCCACAACCACCCTATCACGTCTCCGGGAAGCGGCGTCGTCACATCTGCAGGCGTGTATCTCAGACTAACCGGGAAGATTTTCCTTTGCGGGTCCGCGCTCAGAAGACTGGGACTCAGAGGTAAAATACCGCGGCCATTCGTTGTAGTGCATTCGGGGAAGACGCAGAAGATCGCGTTCGGGTGCTTGCGCTGGAGATCAGACAGCGATATGAGGTTCGCGGGGTTCGACGGTTTGGGCTGCGGCGCAGAGAAGGCCAGACAGATGGCGCGAAAGAGGGTAATTGGTTCGAGGAGGCGAGTGTCGGGGTAGGATTGCGTGAAGATGGGGCCGAAGAAGGCGGCGAGGTAGAGTGGGTCGAGCGGGGAGTTGAAGTTGGCTGCGATGATGCTCCCGGGGTGTGGACGTCGGTTGGGATTCTTTGAGAGTTCGCTGAAAGCTGTTAGTTGATATCTATGACTGGGCCAGCCGAGAGAGGGAGTATAGTGAAGAAAAAGGGCAGAACTCACCCTCTTCTCACTCCGTCTACCCGAAGATCCACAACCCAGACCCCTGTGCAAAAAAGCAGTGCACAGAGCACTGGCATCTTGATAGACGGAGGTGCCACCCATTCCAGAACGCAAAAGTATAG